TCCCTGGGCTCAGGTGATCCTCCCACCTCAGCCTCCCAAGTAGCTGTGCCTTGGAGAGTTTAGATAACCTGCTAAATGTTCACTCCTGTTGGGTGATGGTGCTGGGGTTTGAAGCTGAGGACTTCAGGCATGTTGTGTGGACTCTCCTCTGCTAGTAGCTGAGGGCTACCGGTGTGGACTCTGCTTCCTGGGCAGCTCAAAACGCTCCAAGGATTCTGATCTTAGAAAGTCTCCTGGGGGTTTGGGGAGAAGACAAGAGGTTGGGCTGGCTCCCAACCAAAAGCCTTGGAGACACTTTCAAGATAGTCTGGGAGCTGGGACCACAAAGAAGATAGATGAAAACAGGTAGCCGGGGACTGGGGATCCACAGCCGGGTGATGGGAGAAGAAATCCTGCTACAATATAGCTACTGGGAGCATGGCCTTGGGAGGTCGACTTCCTGGGTTTGAATCTCACCTTAGCCACTTCCTAATTGTGAATTCATGGACACAGTTTCTCCAGCTATGAAATGGGCTCATACAAGTAGCTGCCTCAAAGCATTGTGAGAATTAAGTGAGATATATAGAAAGTGCTTAGTAAGTATACATAGTGAGCCCAGCAATAAATATTTGCTGTTATTTCAGTAAAGGAGTTTTCGGATGAAGCTCTGAAGTCTTTCTGTTACCCTCATTGCTGCCTGCTTCCTACAAGTGTGGTGCATTGGCATGTTTGGAGTGTGTGAAGTGTGGACACGCTCATGAGCAAGCCAGCTTTGCCCTATGGGAAAAGGAATACATGTCAAAGGAATAATGCTGTGACTTGTGACTTCTTCCTCAGGACATGAGAGGGTGTTGAGATAATTCACAGCTACTAAGCATCTCCTGGATGCTTGCCAGCACAAAATGTTGGGGTCAGCTAGACCTCCCTTTGCCCATGGTGAAGAAAGAGCACCTTTCTCGAGAGGAGGACTCTCCCCCAGGATACCACCCTGTGGGCATGGCATGAATGGTCTGGCATGGCGGGACGGACGAGCAGTGTACCCACCTGTCCCAGGTGGGCTGGAACGGTACCAAGGGTAGAGGCAGGATTGGAGAGCCACTGTTCATCATGGCCAAAGAGTGGACTGTCCACTGCAGGTCGCAGAGGAAGAACACAGGGAGCTTCTTTGGGCTTCCTAAACAGAAACTAGTTCTATTTGCAATTCATTCATCCTTACTGCTCAGTCTTTGGAATGGACATTTACAAGCCAGAGATACTTGAGGGTGGTTTTCTCAGACTTGGTGCATCTCCTAGGAGGTGATCCTAGCTGGAGGTCAGGCCAGAATGACTCCCGGGAAGCCAATTTTATCCTGACCAGTGGGAGCCAAGGGAGCACTTCAGAATGAGAGCACTCCGTTGTTTTGTGGCGTGAGGGAGCAGTCAAGTAGGGTTGATTTGGGGCTGAAACTAAAGAGAAAGGAGGTTTGGGACCAGATCTTGTAAGATGGTCTCCCTTTTGTCCTGTTTCTCAATCATAGATCACGTGTTACAAACAGCCTGGACGCTGAGACTTGGAGCAGAGGAAAGCAGCTCCCTGGATATTTCTGGCGAGAATTATAATAACTCACAGAGGAAGAGATTTTGTCTCACAACAGGGAGTCTCAAATTAGTCAAAGACTTGGAATGGTTTTCTGATAAATGAAATGTAATCAATTATGGTGACTTCTTTTGGGAATTTTATTGACTTATTCCTTCCTCCTTGTTTACTTTGGATTGCCACTTGGGTCAAGTGTGAAGTTGTTGATCTTACCCCATCAGCCTGGAATATGTGAGCACATCTGTGGCCATGATACAGAACACAAATGGCCTGATCTAAAACGTGGTGCTAAGTAAACCACATAGTCAAAGAGGTACAAACTGACTATCATCTTGAGCCAACAGGAAGTGATTTTTTAAGTGATGGTTTGAAAAAGAATATGGCAGCACTAAATGTTGAAGCAACCGCAACTCTCCTTTATGGCTGGTGGGAATGTAAATAAATAAGAGCACTTTAGAAAACTGTTTGGCCATTTGTCCTAAGGTTGAACATGTGAATACCTTATGTTCCAGCAATTCCAGTCCTACGGCGTGTATCTGACAGAAATATATACGCGTGCACAAGAGAGATGTACAAGAATGTTCATAGTTACACTACTCAAAAAAGCCAATATATAGACACCTGTTTTGCACAGCTTCAAAATCATCTTGTCCTGATTTTTGCAGGCATTTGTTTCTTGCAAGTATAGTCAGTGATGCCTTGCCTGGGGCCTGCACCATATTGATTTCCTGCAGTGCAGCTTTTTTGACTTGAGATTTTCCAGGACAACTCATGTATGTGTAATCTAGAAGAACAAGAGAATTTTGCTGGTGGCGTCGTCCTTGACCAATGGGGGGCAGGAGCAGATGGACAATGGACCAATGTTTCCATTGTCTATGTTTCCATGGTAACATGGCTGCTGTAAATGATCCTGCGGCTGATTTCAAGCTACCATTTAACACGTGGCCCACAACATTTCTGAGTATTTTATCATTGGCTCTTATGAGCCGGTATGATCTGGCTCAGCATACTACCTGCTCTAACCAATAGCTGCCATGTGAGAAAGTGGTTCCAGTGTGTCCTGATCTTGGACTTTTTTTCAAGGGGAGCCAGAAATCTGGATTTGCATGTGAAAACTCCTGATTTTTAAATTATATCGACTAGTTCAAATTTTTCAAAAACATTTGACAAACCAGGAAAAAAAAAAAAACAAAACTCAACCACATCTGCAAGCTAGATTTAGCCTATAAAATGCCAAAATTCTTTCCCCCCTTTGGTGTACAGACTAAATCTTTTGAGGAGGGCCTGTCAGCCTCAGTGACGAAGCACAGTTTTTTGCATAGACAGAGTTCGGGACTTAATCTGCATGGCCGTATGGTGTTATGAACTCAGTCTTAACTGGGGATTGAGTAACTTGGGTTCTAGTCTCAGTTTTCTATGAAAATTACTTTACTTACCTGGACCTCAGTTTCCCCACATGCATTAAGACATCTTCTGAAGAAGTTCTTCTCATATCAGAACACCTAGGATTATATGAGTATAAAATTATGTTAGGTGCTTCTTTGGGACTAAACTCCTCAGTGGTGCAGGGAGAATTGAAGGTTCTTGGTTGTTGGACAGAGATTCTAGGCTTGCAGGCTGCAGCTGTCTCTCCTTCCACTCCCTTCACTCATAAAAGAGAAGCTGTGGCTTTCCCCAAGCCATCGTTCTAACACTATCCATTTGACTGCTGGGGAAGCCCGGGCCTGATGCTTTGTGGTCCTCAGACTTCTTGAGAAAAAGTCCACTTTCTTAAAATAAAACATGATGTGGTAGGGAGACTTCAGCCCTGGCATTGTTACCCTGGGCTTATGATGTGGCTCTGCCACTTCTTAACTAGGAACTTCATCCTTACTTTTGTCATAGGACTTCCTGCCTCACGGAAATTGCGACAAGAAGCATCCACTGTTTCAAGCGTCTAACATGGCCTCTGGCATATAGTGTGAAATGAACACTAATTACCACCATCCTTGTGATTTATCAAGGCGTTCACCTATGGAGAAGGGCTGGGTGGCCAGCAGCCCAAATATTCATTAAAATTTGATCTTATGTCTCCTTGTGTTTAATTTGGTTCAATTTACTCTGATATTTTAGAGATTCTGCCAACATTAATATTTCTGCAAGATCCGGACAGGTCTGGACACAGAGATTCTGATTTAATCCAAATTTGTGGGCTGAGGAATGCTTCCAGAGAGAGATGCTACTATATATTCTGCTGAAGAAGATTCACATAGCAGGAAGAAGAAGATTTAAACTTTGATTATTTGAAGAGGCAATGAAGTAGTCTAATCTGTGCTATTAATTTGTTTAAAGATAACATGTGCAAGTTCCCTAAAGACAGCATAAGTAACTATATATCAGAGTCTGAGACAAAGGGAAAAATCAGTAATACTGATCTTGCATTTATTTAAAATTTTGATATTTTGTGCATCATGGAGTTTTCATTAATTTTGATTTATAAAATGTTGCATTCAACTCTTTTTTTCTTTTTCTTTTCTTTTTCTTTTTCTTTTTTTTAAGACAGAGTCTTACTCTGTTCCCTAGGCTGGAGTGCAGTGGTGCAATCTTGGCTCACTGCAACCTCTGCTTCCTGGGTTCAAGTGATTCTCATGTTTCGGCCTCCTGAGTAGCTGAGATTACAGACACGCACCCACCATGCACAGCTGATTTTTGTATTTTTAGTAGAGACAAGGTTTCCCATGTTGGCCGGGCTGGTCTTGAACTCCTGACCTTAGGTGAGCCGCCTGCCTCGGCCTCCCAAAGTGTTGGGATTACAGGCGTGAGCCACCACGCCTGGCCCCTAATTCTCACTTTAATCTTACTGTGCTAAGTAGCTTGATATATGACTAGGCTTCTCTGGGATTCTGTTTCTTTGATTTTAAAATAACGTAGAAATATATTTATACTTTTTGCAAAATTATTTTTGAATACCTAAATGCTTTCTAAAATTATTATATTAAAATTTCATTTTAATTACTGATTTTTTTTTTTTTTCTTTTTGCATCGCCTGTAAGTCCAAGGACAATTAGTAAGAGTGTTTGGTTGCAAACAACAGAATTCTCTGTAGCTACATCAATTGTAGTGACTGAACTGTATTGGTTTTTACACAGAGTACCTAGGACAGTTGGACAATCATGCTTGGAGGCTACTGAGCTGGATACCTTAATTATTGCTCCAGGAGAGTCTCTGCTGTTATAGCACAGCAGGGGAACTACCACTGGAACCACCACAACCTTGGACTCTGCAAACTAAGTGTCTCTCTGTCACCCTCATCAGAATTCCTCCACTCTGCACTCTTTCTTACGCAACGCTCTCCTACAATCAAAGTCTGGCACGGTCTATCTGAAGAGGCCAGGGCCCTGCTTGTGTCCAGCTACAGACAACTTAGGAAAGTGAGTTTCTGGCTTCTTTCTGGAGAAGTGGGATTCATAAATCTGGTCATCTTCAAACCAAGGAAGGGTACTGAGAAATTGCTAGGCAGCCGGATGACTGGAGCTCATATGAGTGCATTTTTTTCTGGATAACTTTGCAGGGTGCCACGTGTAATTGTGCAAGCGGTACAATATATACAGGCCCCACTGCCATGGGGTCATTTCTGCTGGTTCAGGCAGTATCATGGGCGTGTGTGCAAATATGAGGACAAGGGACTAAATGCACATGTGGAGAATCACTCTCCTCTTCCCTGAAGCCACATTCATACTTCAAGCCACCCCTTTCCCCTGTCCCTCCTGGGAGAAAGGTTGGAAGCAAAAGTGTTTGTGAAGATTCAGGCTGAGATACTTACTTCTGGTGTCCCCATCGCTCACTTGAACCCATAGATTTCCCCCATTTTCTTACCGTAATCTGCTAATAACGTGACTGTCCTGCCCCACGGGATGCTCTCTGGACTCATTAAGTCTGAAAATGCTTGGGAAATGCATCTGCCAAAGCCTACAGCCAACTGTCATTATTATCATCTGCTTACAGACGCTCTCCCAGGCAGCAAAATATTTTCAAGCTCTAAAATCCTGGCCCTAGCCCATCCCTTTATTTTCATCTTACCTAGCCTGGGTAGATTCTCTGTAGGACACACAGACTCAAAATCAATGTCCCATCTGTCTCTTGTTTACAGCTTATCAGGTGCCCAGGGCACCAACACAAGGAGGTGTGTTGTGAAATGAAACAGTGAATTCTCTGGGAGCGTTTCCTCTTCTGAACTGATTTAACTTTAGCTCTCTGAAGCTTTCTCCTCCTTTGGCTTCTGAGAATGGTGTGCTGGTTTGAGAAGCAAGAACTTTCCATTGGCATAGCTATTAATATTGACCAATATGGACTTCTTGTGCCTTGCTCCAGTTTGAAATTTATGAAGATGGCTGCCTCATTGCATGTGTGTGTGTCTGTGTGTGTGTGCATGTGTGCGTGTGTAATTGCTTTGCTCCTTCTTTTGCATGTGAGTAGATCGAGCTTAAGGATCAGCACTCATCTCTGTCTTCCCACAACAATGCCTCAAAAAGGGGAGGGGGGTCATGAATGTTTCAAAAATAACTTACATTTTTTATGCATAAATCTTCTTTTGCTCCTTCTTTCCTTTCTTCCTTCCTTACTTCTTTCCTTCCTTCCTTTCTCTTCCCTCTCTCCAATCTGTTTCCTCTTCGTCTCCCTTTGCCTCATCCATGCCCCATTCTTTCTCCCCCAACTCCAGGACTGTGTGACTTTTCTCTTTGACCTTTTATCCTCACTGCTTCTTTGGCTATGATTTGAATCTGGGTCACTAGAATAAGTGTGTCCTTCCTTTCATGTAGACTATACAGGTTGACTGCTTTGTAGATTTTGGCATTTTGTAGGGCATCATATGGATGCAATTTTTCTGGATAACTTAGCAGGGTCCCACATATAGTTGTGCAAATTGTATACTGCACACAGACCCCTGCCGAGTGAGCAAATGGGGTAAAAATCTAACCCATGCTACTGTCTCCAAACTGTGTATCCTGGGCAAGTGCTACATCCATTGAAGGAAGAGTCATGCTTTTGTAATTTGGTGACTAATCATGGCTCAGTCCTAGCAACCAATTATGCACACACAAATAGGCACTGCATAATTGTTTACCACACCACATTCCCTCAAGTCATCTGAATTTACATACTCTCAAAACTCACATGGCTTCCAGCGGTGCACATCCCCAAATTCCCTTTCAAGGCAAGTTGGTGGTCGAAAATCACACTGCTGTTATTTCACCCCCATCACATTTCATCAGATGTGAGTTGGTTTTTCTACAGAAACGATGTGACAAGCAGTGATTATATCCTAAGGGTGACATCACAATCGCCCATTTAAGCTATTATATTGTTGAAAATTGTTTATTGCGAAGGAAAGATATAAGAAAACACTATTTTTCTATATTACTATTTAAACAATCATAAAAACAATAATCCTAAGTAAGATGTTATTTTGGAAAGATTGTATAATTTGAAAGAGGCTAGCCTTCAAAAGAATAGCAGGTTTAATTAGGAGAGCAGAAGGAGGCAATCGAAACCTCTGTGGGGATGCTGATATACTCCACAGGTGTAAGATTCTGACAAATTTCAGAGGATGCCAACTAGGTTCTTTGTTTAATTTAATTTCATTGCAAACCCCAGGGTAGTTAAATCTCTAGAACTGTTCTTAGATTTATTAAACTTAATACAGCTTATTTCTTGGCTTACAAAAGGGACCAAGAAAGAGAGGGAATAACACTTTTCAAATGAGGTAAATAGGCAACAGTTGGAAGAAACTAGGAAGATAATTGAAATGCATGTCTCACCATGCATGAGAAGGAAATTAGCTAGCATGGAAAGAGCTGAAGTGGAAGCAGTGAGTGTACACGCTCCTCATGAAGTTAGCAGGGCATATTAGTCCTTCTCACACTGCTATCAAGAACTACCTGAGACTGGGTAATTTATGAAGAAAAGAGTTTAATTGACTCACGGTTCCACAGGCTGTGCAGGAGGCATGGCTGGGGAGGCCTCAGGAAACTCACAGTCATGGCAGAAGGTGAAGGGGAAGCAAGCACCTTCTTCACATGCCAAAGAAGGAAAGACAGAGACAGAGAGAGAGAGAGAGAGACAGTAAATAAGGAAGTGCTGCACACTTTCAAACAACCAGATCTCGTGAGAGCTCACTCACTATCATGAGAGCAGCAAGGGGGAAATCCACCTCCATGATCCAGTAACCTCCCTCCAGGTCCCTCTCCCAACACTGAGGACTACAATTCAACATGAGATTTGGGTGTAAACACGGAGCCAAACCATATCACAGAGGAGACCATGTAAGGCCCTGGAGAACATGTGGGGCTGGGAAGGGCACAGGTGTAATGTGCTGGGACTGATGTTTCTGAAAGGACCAGTCTGGCTGCTGTGTTTGTCAGGGATCAAGGTGGAATGTGAGCAATGTACTGGATTACAGCAGAACCCAGAATATGAACTGGGTTATATTCTGGACAAATTTTAAAGGTAGAACCATCAACATTAGCTCATGGTTAGTGGTACCTTTGACCCAATGGATTGGTTGACTACGGAGGAGTAGAAGGGAAAGTAAGGAGGAAGCTCCCTGGCTGGGCTTCATGGAAAATGCTGAGGAGTAGAGTTCTTCGCTCAGGGCTCTGTCTCCCTGTCTTGACATAACTGCAGCAGTGTGGGCAGGAGGGAGTGATTGCGCTCTGAACTAGACTCATTCACTCATCTCTCTAGTCTTTCATTCACAAATACTTAGTGAGGGCCTACTATGTACCTGGCGCAGTGCTGAATTCTGGGAAGAGAGACAGCTAGTGAACAGGTTCCTCACCCATGGAGCTCACAATCTAACCAGAGTCATGCACTAAAAATGACATTTTGGTCAATGACAGATCACTTATACAGTGGTGGTCCCGCGAGATTACAATACTGTATTTGGACTGTACCTTTTCTATGTTTAGACCTGTTTATATATATGCAAATATTTATATTGCATTACAGTTGCCTATGGTATTCAGTACAGTAACCTGCTGCACAGGTTTGCAGCCTGGGAGCAAGAGGCTACCCTATATAGCCTGGGTGTGTAGTAAGCTATACCATCTAGGCTTGTGTAAGTGCACTCTATGATGTTCACACAATGTCAAAATAGCTTAAGGACAAATTTCTCAGGGCATATATCCATCATGAAGTGATGCACATAGCATACTGGATTGTTTTATGGATGTGAGTAGGATTTCCCCACGTGCCCTATACCTTTTTACTTCCATTCAATTCTTCTCATGCTATTTCCTCCTGTTAAAATGTTTTCCTTTCCCTGAGGCCTGTTTTCACCTATCAAAGTCCTCACTGATTCAACTCCCAAGCTGTCTTCTTCATGAAGCCTCCTTCATTTTCTACCTTCCATTTTCTACTGTTCATTTTCAAAGCCCTTTATGCCTACCTTCCCTAGAATGCTCATTGCACTGGAAAGTGCCTTTTCTGTAACTGATTTGCCTCTCTTAGAAGAATCTTGCAGCTTATCTTCACCTGGGCCATAGCTCCTAGCACATAGTAGATAATCAGAAATAACAAAAGAAAGCATGAATGTATTTTCCCAAGAGACAGAATGCAAAGTTAGAAGTGTAGAAGGCCAAGAACTTAGGCAGTTTGATAGAGGTAGGAAAAAAGATAATTCAGAGAAAAAGAGAAGGTAGTCACAGAGAGGTCAGATACAGGAAGAAACCATATTAAGGAAGGGAGGGGCAACAAATTAGCAGAGAGGTCACTAAGGGGTCTCTCTGCAAGGATGGGGTTGCTGGATATCTCAGATAGGGTCTTTCTCTTAGGGTGGTGGAACAGAGGCCAATTTGTAGGAGGCTAACAAATGGATGCAGTGATCATGGCCAGGTCCAAATCAGCTGTCATTTTCTCTATATTACTACTTATCTGTAGGAGTCATTAATTAGTCATCTAAAGCATCTTTATTTCTCAGAGTAAAGTGTGGAAAACAGAAACCATTCTAGGTATTCCAAGCAGGAGGTGCTAGGGGAGCAGAAGTCAGGAGGCTGCTGATCGAATGTAGGTTTCAAGTGCAAACCATGGGTAGCATCCAAAGAACAGGCTGCTGCTGCTTTTGCAATTACTAGGGCTGCTGCCTCAACCACCTCACCCCTTGAAGCAGAAGCTGGAGGTCAGCTGTCGAAACATACGCATCTGTTGGCACTCACTCATCAGCCACTACAGCTATGGAGAATGTTCTCTGCCTCTTTTCTGCCTCCCAGATCTCTGGCAAGGGCAGCTCTCTGGCTAAACCAAGCTCTCCTGTAGAGAGAGGTAGCCTCGGAAGGCTTTCAGCTTTCCAACTGTTCCAGATAGAAAGGGGGTAAAATGGAGGTTGGGGGACGCCCCTCCAAATGTGTGCCATGGCCTCCCATGTGGCCGGCAGGGGTGAGGGCCTCTGCCTTGTTACCGTCCCTCTGGTTGAAGGTTGGGTGTGCTGGGGGGCAGGCACTGTGATACAAATAGATTTCTCCAGGAAACCTTTCCTGTCTCTCTCCTCCAACTGGAAAATATTGTTCTCCAGCTCCCTCCTTTGCAATTTCATAGCTCTTTTCTTAAATATACTGTGTATTACATTAGCCTGAGTTTATTGTTAATTAGATATATGCTGTTGCTCTTCTCCCCCTGATGATTCATTTCTCAAAATATGTAGACTCAAAATAGTTTAGTCACAGAAAGTGTTCTATTATCATTATTGCTATTGTCTCCATTTATCTCTTTCCTAAATCCTAGCCATTGTGTGAGTGCTTGATCTCTGCTTGCTACATTGAGTGAATCCTCAATGCGCCATCTTAATAGGTGGTAACTCCTTCTAAGGCCCCCCTCCCCCTACCACCCCAATTGTCCTAGTCCGTTCAGGCTGCTATCACAAAATACCATAGACTGAGTAGTTTATGAACAACAGAGATTTATTTTTCATAGTTCTGGAGGCTGGAAGCCTATGATTAGGGTGCCAGCATGGTCAGGATCTGGTGAGGACTCACTTCTGGACTGCAGACCGCCGTCTTCTCACTGCCTCCTCACGAGGCAGAAGGAGGATGAGAGACGTCTTTGGGGCCTCTTTCATAAGGGCACTAATCCCCTGAGGACTCTGCCCTCATGACTTCATTAGCTGCCAAAGCCCACCTCCTAATAGCATCACACTGGGGGTTAGGATTTCAACATATCAATTTTGGGGGGACACACTCAGTCTGTTGCACCAGTTCACACATCCACAACACCCTCACCCGCGCACACACAAACACGGTGACTTCCCTGGTATCATGCCTGCTACCCGCAGGTACATGGTTTTGGGAAAATAAAAGGGAGTACTCCTTTACAAAGAAGTGGGGACATCTGTTGTAATAAAATAATATGTGTAATTTTCCCTGGGTGGCCAGAGAGTTCTCAGTCCACACTGACTCCAAGGAGTGACTAACTCTAAGTCAGCAGGGGGGGTTTGGCTCAGCTCACTGAGTAGGATTTGCACTCCCTGCTGCTGTTGCCTTACTCTGTGTTTTGGGGAATGCTGCTGAAGATGAATGAGAGATTTATTGAGATCAACCTCCACTCCCTTGTCTCATGCAAGACCTGGATTTGGTTGCCAGTATTTCCTAAATGAGTTTATGACTGAGTTGCTGTAACACATTTTTATCAAACTAAATATTTTATACTGAAACCTATATGAATACCATGAATATTATATTATATTATACTCTGAAGGCTTCACTGACAGCAGGCAGTAACGAGGATGAGTTAGGTCCCTGGGATTCCCCAGCCAGGCAGCCCACTTTCTTTACCTCTTTTCTTTTCTTTAGCAAGACCCCTCCATTTGTCCTCTTAGTACAATGCAAATACCCAAGAGAGAGTCACATGGCCTCTCCAACCATTCTTGTTTCCGCCTGAGTTTGGAAGTTCCTCCAGGGCCTTTCTGTAGCAGGCATTCATCCCCTTGGCTGAAAAGGAGTTCCCTGGGAGCTGTGTGGGATCAGTGCCAGGGACACTAAGGAGTATATAAGACGAACAGGGGGTCTTTTCTTTGAGAACACAGTCCCATGGCAACCCGCCGGGAGGTCCCTGCTCAGAGCCAGCCTGCCCGGCAGAACTCACTTACTTAGCATTGCCTTGAATTATTAATCAGCTCTTGCAGAGGAACGAAATGCAGAGTCATTTTGTCTCCTCCAGAACTGACTGTCCTACTCTTTGACCTCAGCAAATCTTCAAATTCACAGTGAGCATCC